ACCCCTGGCATAGAGTATTAGTAAGCAAATTGGGACGCGGGGCGTTTTAGGCTACAAAGTGTCTTTTGTAAACTGGTCCATGGGGTGCAATACTGACAAAATGAAAAACATTTAACTGACAAGAGGATTATATGTAATAAAATATTGCGTTTGGTCTAATTGTATTTTTTGTATCCCTCACTGCAGCAGGATCCAAAGAATCTCTCCTCTCAGCAACAATATCAGCAAATGAAGAGGCGATGACCATACTGGAGGAAGTGATCATGTACACCTTTCAGCAGTGTGTCTACTACATCACTAAGGTAAAGGGTAGGATTACCTTATATGTGTGGCGCCACACTGGTAAGATGTTACCTGGGCTGCTGGAATGAATTATTTAATGTATTTATGTGTGACTGCTTGTTGGCTTCTGTGTCTTTTTAGGTGCTCTCCTCCTCTACCTCATGTCCTATACTAAATTAATTATAAATAAGTACTATTCATTGCTGAAATACATATTAAATTACCAAAATACTGTAATTTAAGTTTCAATTCATTTATGATGTGGCATTTAGCTTTCTGAATTAATTGCATTGATCAAAAATCTGTATTTTCTAAATGATTAATAACACTCTTTAGTGCCATATTATTAAATCAATGAATGCTTATTAAATACTGTGGATGTAGGGTAATTTATTTAGTTTGATTTACTTCAGTGGGTGGCACGGTGGCTTAGTGGTTAGCACTGTCGACTCACAGCAAGAAGGTTGTTGGTTCGAGCCCTGGCTGGGTCAGTTGGCATTTTTGTGTGGAGTTTGCATGTTCTCTTCGTGTTCGCGTGGGTTTCCTCCGGGTGCTCCGGTTTCCCCCACAGTCCAAATACATGCGCTATAGATGAATTGAATATTGTATGTGTGTAGATGAGAGAATGTATGGGTGTTTCCCAGTACTGGGTTGAGGCTGGAAGGGCATCCACTGTGTAAAACATATGCTGGATAAGTTGGCGGTTCATTCTGCTGTGGCGACCCCTTATAAAAAAGGGACTAAGCCAAAGGAAAATGAATGAATGAATGATTTACATTAATGTTCAATAGATTGGGGTCGGTATGATTTTTAAATGCTCTTATTAAATGATGCTTCAAAGGAATCAACTATTTACAGTAAAGACTTTTATAATTATGCAAAAGAACATTCTATTTATTCACCAAAGTATCACTGTTTTCACTGTTATAAACATTGATAGTAACAAATAATTTAGATTTTCCATAAAAACAGCATGTTAAAACTATTTCTGAAAAATCAAGAAAGAAAAACAGGTATTTTAGATTGTAATATTATTTCCATTTTTATAAAAAACACACAACAACATCAGAACACAAAAATGTTTTGAAAAATGTATTTCAGCTTTTGTATAGTTTTGTATAGTCAAAATGCTAATATTATTAATATAATCCTATATTTACAAAAAAAGAGAAAAAACATCAGAAAACATTCAAATGTTTTGACTATTTTAGTTTTTTAATATTATTAAAGTTTTAATATTATTAAGAATATTTCCATGTTTACCAAAACACAAAAGAAACATCAGAAAATCTAAAAATGTTTTGACTATTTTAGTTTTTTATAATATTAAAGTTTTTATATTATTAATAATATTTCCATGTTTACCAAAAACACAAAAGAAACATCAGAAAATATTAAAATGTTTTAAATATTTTAGCTTTTTTTGTATAATTAAAATTATAATATCATTAATACTATTTCAATTTTACCAAGAAAACAAAAAACATTAAAAGTTTTGATTATTTTAGCTTTTTATATTTTTAAAGTTTTTATACTATTATTATTTCTATTTTTCCCAAAAAAAAAAAAAAAAAAAAATCAGAAAACATTAAAAAGCTTTAATTATTTTAACTTTTTTTATATTATTAAAATTATTTATATTGTGAATATTATTTCCATGTTTACCAAAAACACAAACAAACTTCAGAAAACATCATTTAATCATTTTCTTTTTGGCTTAGTCTCTTTAATTAATCTGGGGTCGCCACAGTGGAATAAACCACCAACTTATCCAGCATACGTTTTATGCAGCGGATGCCCTTCTAGCTGCAACCTATCACTGGAAAATATCCATTCACACTCATGTACTACGGACAATTTTAACTTACTCAATTCACCTATACCACATTTCTTTGGACTTGTGGGGGAAACCGGAGAACCTGGAGGAAACCCACGCAAACACAGGGAGAACATGCAAACTTCACACAGAAATGCCAACTGACCCAGCCGAGGCTCGGACCAGCAACCTTCTTGCTGTGTGGTGATCGTGCTACACACTGCGCCACCGCAGCTTTTTTATATTATTAAAATTGTAATATTATTAATATTTACATATTTACATATACTATGAAATGTAATGTTATTAATATTAATTTTATTTTTACAAAAACAGAATTTTTCTTTCTAGAAAACATCAAGTTTTGATTATTTTAGCTTTTTTATATATATATTTTAAATATTATTATATTATTTTAATATTATTTTAATATTTTTCATGTTTACCAAAAAAAAAAACACACACAAACATTAAAATATTTTGATTATTTTAGCTTATTTATGTTAATAAAGTTTTTATATTATTGTTTATTTTTTTTCCATTTTTACAAAAAAAAATGTGATTATTTTGATTATTTTAAGATTTTTTATATTCTAAAGTTTTCCAAAATCACAAAAAACATCAAAAAACATTAAAAGTTTTGATTATTTTAGCTTTTTTATAATATAAAGGTTTTTATATTATTAATATTTTTCCATATTTACCAAAAACAAACAAAAAATAAAGTGTTTTGATTATTTTAGCTTTTTTTTAATTTCTGGAATTCAAAAACATGTCTAAACTCTGCATTACTTTTTTTAAAATAAGCAATCACACAATATTAATATCTTAAATTGGCAGCCTGTCATTCATGTACAGTAATAACAAAACCCTGTGATGTCTATTTTAGACGTTGTATGTGGTGCTGCCGGGCCTGTTGGACTGTAACCCATTTGGGACGGAGCCTTCATCAGAGCAGTGCCGGCGGGCTGCAGGAGTGTGTGTGTGTGCAGTGTGTGTGATGCCAGAAGCCGTTCGCAGGGTGGTCAGTGTGTTTCAAACCACATCAGACCTGCTCCAGCAGTACCAGGTTCATTCAGAGATTCAGAGTCAGATGTTCGCCTACCTCTTCTTCTTCACCAACGTCTCGCTCTTTAATCAACTCATCGATAAAGGTTTGAATAAGCTCCTCAGTTACAGCTGATTTGTTCACATTCAGATATACATTTAAATACATAGTTTTATATTTGGTATATTATCAATTAGGGAATAACAGACATACAGTACAAAGAATGAAATTACACTAGTATGGTGAGTGTTTATGCTGCCCTCTAGTGGTAAATACATTTATAGCATGTTTCATGGAATAAATATGTACTTCATTTCATTCATTCATTCATTCATTTATTCATTCATTTTACTTTGACTTAGTCTCTTTATTCATCACAGCGGAATGAACCGCCAACTTATCCAGCATATGTTTTGCAAAGCAGATGCCCTTCCAGCTGCAATCCAATACTGGGAAACATACATACACACTCATTCAAACACATACATTCAAATAAATATTTTTTTTTGCTTGTTTATACTACGTATTTAAAATGATCTGAAACAACACGATTCTTGAGATTTCATTGGGACAACTTTTTTTTTATAGTAAATCCACATAAATTTGTTAAAAGTGTTAAGTTAATTTAATTTGTGTTGGGACAACATTAATGAATTGTGTGGAACCCTGCAGTTTTTACATTGTACACTATGGCCATTATCATTCATTCAATGTTTTTTTTTCGGCTTAGTCCCTATATTAATCATGGGTCGCCATAGCGGAATGAACTACCAACTTATCCAGCATACAGTATGTTTTACGCAGTTTTAGCTTACCCAATTCACCTACAGCACATGTCTTTGGACTTATGGGGGAAACCCACACCAACATGGGAACATACAAACTCCACACAGAAATGTCAACTGGCCCAGCTGAGAGTCGAACCAACGACCTTCTTGCTATGAGGCGACACTGCCAACCCCTGAGCCACTGTGCCATACTTCATTTCATTCTAAAATTATACTTTTGTCATGGTAAATTATAATACTTTTTTTGTAGAAAACATTGTTCTAATACAACAATACTAAAGCTACAACTAGAAGTTATCTACATTGTAACGTTGATGTAGATTTTAACTCAATTATTTTTAAGACGAGGTCCATAATTGAGTTATTAATGTTTTGTTACGTAATATTTATTGTTGTATTAAGTGTTTGGGGTTGTGTATATTTTATTTTATGTTTGTTTTATGTTTTTATATGGACAAGTATTTATTTTGATTGATTGATTGATTGATTGGTTGGTTGATTGATTGATTGATTGATTGATTGATTGATTGATTGATTGATTGATTGATTGATTGATTGATTGAAGTACTTTATAGTCTCCAGAGCTGCATTTACTTAATTAATTAAAAATAACTGTATGATGTTAAAATCAGAAGGAGAAAGAGCTTTATTTATTTATATGAGAGATATTTTTTAAATACAGTAAGTAGCATGGTCACCTCACAGCAAGAAGGTTGCTGGTTCGAGCCTTGGCTGGGTCAGTTGACATTTTTGTGTGCTCTGGTTTCCCCCACAAGTCCAAAGACATGCGTTAAAGGTGAATTGGGTAAGCTTAATTGTCCGTAGTGTATGTGTGTAAATGAGTGTGTATAGATGTTTCCCTGAGATGGGTTGCAGCTGGAAGAACATCCGCTGCATAAAACATGTGCTGGATAAGTTGGCGGTTGATTCCACTGTGGCGATCCCAGATTAATAAAAGGAACTAAGAAAAAAGATAAAATGAATGAATGAATGAATGAATGAATTTTGATGTTGTGACTTTTTAAACACCAAACAAAACTTCTTTATAAGTGAGAAAATAATTTCTATTTAAGACATTTTAAGATTATTTTAAGACTCCACGGACAAATAAACACTCCTACTGAACACCGAATGATATTCTGTAATATGTCAGATTATTGCTCATTACATGAGGAGTTCTGTGTAGTTTAAGAGTACAAGTCAATGTCACTCTTCACACACTGCGAGTGTAAGAGCAGTGCAAGAGCAGCTCTGATCCTCTGTCTGTTATGACATAAAGAGGATTATGGGAGTCTGGGGAAATAATCTTCACCTGACCACGAGTAATGCACAAATGTTCCCACTGAAGGAGCATGTGTTTCCCTCTGCCCTTTAAAAACAAAAAACTGATGGATTAACAACACGCAGTACTGACTGCAACTAAGCTATTTAAAAAGCAGCTGTCATCATGAAATAATATAACATTTGAATATATACGAACATGCAAGAGTTTGGAGTCTATATATATATATATTCAAATATATTTATTATTTTATTTAGAACAGAACATATGTTGAGACAACTGGAATTTTAGGCCTTAAAATTAGTTAAATTCATTGTCTTGTAGGTCTTAAATACTTTTTAACAGTTCTTAAATTTCCTGTGTCTATCTGCAGTAAATCTAAGGCCTACACCTATCCAATTACCAAGAATCCATCTCAATGAAACTTTTACTCTTTTTTTTTTTACTCTATTAACTAATGTGGTTTAATTATCTTCAGTAACGTTTGTTCTAAAGTACTCCATATATGAAACATAGACCATATATGGTGAGGACACTGACCTGGACAGACTGTTGTGCTTACATTTAATTTATAATATTTACATTATAAATATAATGAATTCTAATTATTATGTTTTATTAAATAGACTTTTGTGTATTTAATTTATTATATTATAATTTTTAAAGAAAAATGTGTATGTATACAACTAGGATTTGCTTGTTTTGGCACATTGTTTAAAATATGTGGCTGAGAAATAACTAGTTATAGTTATTGGTTGAGTTTTTTGTTGAGGCAATTAAAAATCGTTTCCCAATTAGAAAGAATCCTTAGCGTCTAGTCCAGTATAAGTCTAAAATGTAATTAGAGAGGACTTAAATTTTACAATTTGTAAAACCTGCAAAACCCCTGGCATTGTATGTGTAATGACTGCATTTATGTTTGCAGGTCCCGCTCGTGGCTGGTTTCAGCGCTCTCGTGTCCTGCAGATCCAGGCGAGTGTGAAGATTTTGTTAGACTGGGCTAAAGGAGCAGGTCATAATCATCTTGCACAGAAATTCTTTGCTAAATTCTGTAGCACAGTGACCATCCTGGCCTCGCCTCCACAGCAGCTTTCACAGGTAATGCAAAGCTTTTCACCCACAAAAAATGTACATTTGCTTACCTCTAGACCAGCCAGGATTTTCATTCTTAGTCTGAAGAGAAAATAAGCTTTTGGAACATTCCAGCATTTTTGTACAAGTTTCTAAATCAACTCAATGATTGAACAGTCCATAGAAATTTACAAAGATTAAAATTAATATTTATGCGAGGCAGTGGCGCAGTAGGTAGTGCTGTCGCCTGACAGCAAGAAGGTTGCTGGGTCGTTGGTTCGAACCTCGGCTAAGTTGGCGTTTCTGTGTGGAGTTTGCATGTTCTCCCTGCCTTCGCATGGGTTTCCTCCGGGTGCTCCGGTTTCCCCCACAGTCCAAAGACAGGCGGTACAGGTGAATTGGGTAGGCTAATTTGTCCGTAGTGTATGAGTATGTGTGTGTGTGAATGTGTGTGTGGATGTTTCCCAGAGATGGGTTGCGGCTGGAAGGCATAAAAACTTGCAGGATAAGTTGGTGGTTCATTCTGCTGTGGCGACCCCGGATTAATAAAGGGACTAAGCCGACAAAAAAATGAATGAATGAAATTCATTTTTACGCAGCATTAAGGCAATTCACACGACACCAGCTGATGAATAAATGGAAAATAATCGTATTTTCAGCAAGTAATAATTTTAGTAAAAATAAATAAATATATAAACTAAATAAATAAATAAACTAAATAAGTAAATGAATGAACAAACAAAGATTAAACAAAATTAATAAATAAATAAAATAAAACAAATAAACTAAAAAAATGTAAAAATAAAATAAAATAATATAAAATAAAATAAATAAATAAATAAACTAAACAAATAAATAAATAAACTACATAAATAAAAAATTATTTATCTAAATAAATAAATAAATATAATAATTAAATTAATTAAATAAAAACAAATAAAATAAATAAGTTAAATAAATAAACTAACTAAATAAATAAAATAAATATATAAAAAATAAAATAAATAAATAAAATAAATAAATAAACTAAACAAGTAAATTAACCTAATAAAAAATAAATAAACTAAGTAAGTAAAATAAATAAACTAAATAAATATATTTACAGTAATGTTATTGATTGCTCTTATTTATTGTTACATTTGTGTGTTTGAGTTCATTAAAAAAAACTAAATCTTTCAATTTTGCTGTGATTTTACACAATTATTACAATTTAGATAAAAAAATAAATGGTTAGTTATGTTAGCTTCCAATGTTTTAACAGGTTAGCTTGTATGTAATATCTTTTGTAAAGCAAAAGATTATTGGTGTATATTTTCTAAGATCATACTATTTTAATTCAAGTGCAATTTCTTGGTAATTGTGTGTAAAACTTAATTTAAAAAAAATATTTTTCCTTTGTAGCTTGTTTCAAGTGTTAGCATCCCCAACAACATTAAACTTGTCATCATTTACACATGCTCTGGTTATTCCAGGCCTGTTTAAATTAGTTCTGCTAAACACAAAAGAAGATATTCGGAAGAATTTTTGTATCAAACAGATCTTGGGACTCATTCATAGCATGGGTAAACAATGACAGAACTGTAATTTTTAGGTGAACTAACCCTTTTCCTGTGCATGTGTGTGTTTTTGTCTGCAGATGAGCTGGAAAGCCTTATGTGCAGAGCATCCGTCTCTAAAGCCTGTCCAGCTTCACAGAATCCTCACTCAATACCAGCTCATGGCTGAACTTGGGCCTCTACCAATCTGGCAACCCAGCAGTGAAGATGAGGCCTATATCTACAGAACAGGTATGCTGACTGTACGACTTTATTATTTATGTGTGTATGCAAGCATACGCTGTAAATCCCTGTGTGTGTTTCTTTGATAGTTGATCTACTGGAGAGCTTTGAGAATCACCCTCCTATTGTGCTGCCAAGTGCTGGGTTTAAGGTGGATTTGGAGAGTGACTGTGTGGAGGACAGTATTTATCGTCAGCTGCTTTACGTTCGTCACTTTGTTTGGGGGCTTCGCACTAAAACTCATCCATCTAATGGCTGTACAGACCGACAGGATGCCCAGGTAAATATTTTAATAATCTTTAACTTCATGCACTACTGGTCAAAGAATTGGAATTTTTTAGTACTTTGATTTGATGAAATTTGATTTGATTTGGATGGACTTTCATTTGATTTCATTTTTGTGAAATGTAATTGCAGTTTAAAATAGTTGTTTTATATATAGTTTACTGTTGTAATATATAATAATATATAATAATAATAATAATTTCCTGAGTTGCTAAATTTGAATTTTTAGTTCTAAGAGTCTCATCATCTTTTGGAGATCATTAAAACACTAATTAAGCCTCTTTTTTTTAATTGAAATCGGCATTTTAAAATCCCATATAAAATGCAAATTATATATGTGACACACAAGTTTATTTTTGGTATTTATGTATATATATATATATATATATATATATATATATATATATATATATATATATATATATATTTATATATATATAATCTATGTCAGATAAATGCAATATATCTGTATATCTGTAACATACATGCATATTTCAG